TATGAGTAAACCTTAGGCTTCTAAGGAAGAAAGTCCAGACCTCAACCATAGTGAGGTCAATAAGGTGAAATTCAAAAAGGGAACTATAACACTTCTTTTTTTTTGGTGAATCTCTGAAATAGGCTTATTCGAGGAGCCCTTCACACATCTCGATCGTGGCTTGGCAAGGCACGATCATGCAAACAGACAGGATCACGTGGTCTACATGATTTTTCTTTGTTGAAACTGATTTTTTATCTTCTTTCTATTGTATTTTTATTTTCATTCTCTACTATTCAATGGAGTAAAAAGTGAAAATTACTCTATATTAAATCATGCAAACTCATGTGAGCTCGAGCAAGTCACTCATCTTTCTAATCCTCAATGTTTGGGCAAAATTTGTATCACTTTATAAGTAAAAATGTAAATGCATCCTAGAAAAGAAAAGGCATAACTCGTTAGTAAAATTTTTAAAAATTGAAAATTTATATCATAATAGCTTATTCATCATCAAAATGTGACTATGCCTATATCTCGATATTAATGACTATTTGAAGCATCTTCTTTGTATAAAGAAGTTTAAAATATTTCATATCAAATGATGCAACAAAGGAAGTAGAAAAAAATAAAAATATATAATCATAATTTTTTGTGAAATAAGCCAAAATCTTGATTCTTATCATTGTTCAAATCGAATTTTGTAACTACAGAAATCTCTTCATGACTAATTGTCCTCCTCCAAGAAACTACTCGCATTGGGGCAATTTAACTCTCTAATTAAGGAGCAACAACAGAGTCTTCATCGCTAACTTATCCTCTAAAGCAAGGACATGTTTATTGGTACTTTGCTAGTTTTATTATAGATCCATGACATCACTAACTTATCCTCTAAAGCAACAGAGTCGTCAAATAGTCTATCTACAAGATGCACCACCTTATCCTTTGTGACCACCATGTCATCTCAAACTTCTGCAAGCTCCTCTCAAGTTCTTACAGACTCCTTTGTACTCTTCTCTAACCAATTTCGAGTTGCCAACAACTCCTCTCTCAAGTTATTTGCATGGTAAAAAAAAGTAGCACCCCGAGCAATCTGAGAAATGGCCACGGGTTCCACCACAAATAGTCTTATTTTGACATTGATTGTCTTCGCCCCCACGGAAGGAATTTTAATAGTAGCTAACTTCACTTCCAAGACACTACTCACACCCGCATCAACTCTCTTATCTAAATAAATTAAATAATGAGAAAGTATGAAATTTATTGCATTAATGATAAGGAAATAGCCTACTTTACCTTCAAAAGTGAGCTCACCAACTGGCAACTGAATCTCAATCACTGGTTCCATGGCTTGATCTTGTGTATTATCAATAACCTCTATAATATAATCATTGAGAATAGTCGTGGGATCTGGCGGCCGATTGATAGATCTCTCAAAAATAAAGCAACAAGAATAATAAGAGTGTAGGCTAACATAAATATGAAAGATAAAATCAGAGCCTAATTACTAGGACTCAACTCTTGGAGTGTAAATGTTAGAGGCCCTCCAGTCATTCAGAGGGTCAGAAACTTATGATTCAAAAATAACTTTCAGAACAACAACCATTGGCTCTTCAGAAATAAGATCTGAGATGAGTTGCATGAGCATTTTTTCTTAATCCATTTTATTTAGACTAGCTCTAAGTCCACATTAGGGATTACAGTGCTCCCCATAGGACTATCTGATAGCCCTTTGTTTTGAATAGCTTTGAAATCTCAGCTCTGCTACCCTTTCCTTTCAAATCGTGGGAACCCTTAGAGAGCTTCTATCTTTTCATCCTTCACTGCATAATCACTTTCAACCATTTTTCTGAAATAATAATATCTTATTTGGAGATCTTTCTCATTAGAGTGAAATTAGAGTAACAATAGATACTTGAGAATAAAGGAAAGGAGTACAAGATACCTATCGAGAATGAAGCCTCCAACTCATAAAATTCAGCAAGGACTTGCACAACTATTAAATATCATACAAGAGATTAACGTGACAAACTATTCATAATACCACTGAAATTAATTCTAAAATTAATATTGTTACTTTCATTCTCTTGATAATGTAACTACACATCGATTGATGTACCAAATGTCCATGTAGTGCCCGCTTCAAATAATTTGATAGTTATTCTTTGACAATCCTAATAAATTGACATTAGCAAGCCCTTAATGATGGGGATGTCTTGAACACTTCATATCTATTGGTGACTCAAATGAGTTACACCCTCCATTATAGCATGTGCGCTCATCTAGGGTAACTCGATAAGGAAAAATCGTCATGTATCCCCTGTGGGTCATAATAATAGGAGCCTCTTACGCCGCCTAAGAACAAAGACTCCCAAATGAGAAAAAAGTTAACAATTACTAGAGAGTACTTGCGACTACTCCTTACAGGCGTAGCTTTTGACCCCCCATAAGAAGGAAAGTCCAGGCTCGACGGTAAAATTTTGATACTATTCTTCAACGCAAAGCCAATAATACTTATTGGTGGTGGAAAACCACCAATTTGAATGAATATGAACAAAGATATCTCTGAACATACAATGTAGAGCAGGAATACAATCATCACATCTTTCTAGTCATGTATAAAGTTAACTTAGTCCCCGTTTGGGGCAGCTTATTGGGGTGCGGCGGCGTTTTTAAAACGCCGCCCCAATGTTTGAATAATGCGTTCGTCGAGCGTCCCCATAACGCCTCAAAACGTCGTTCACAAAATTACTGAAGAAACGGGAAGAAGCGGGGCAGCAGGATCCACCCTGCCGCCAGCTTCTTGAATTGCGTTCAAAGGATTATTCTTCCCGTGCCCTTTTTGCGTGATTCCATGGTCGATCAATTACAGAGCTTGTCTCCCTCCGCTCCGCTCGTTGAGATCGCGCCAAAACTCCCATCTTTCTCCTCCGCTCCGCTCGTTGAGATCTCGTCGAAACTATCATCTTTCTCCTCCGCTCCGCCCTTTGAGATAGCGTGAAGCCCTGTTCGATCGATCACAGAGCCTTTCTTCCTTGCCTCTTGCTCTACTATGTGGAAACGACATCTAAAACTCCCATTTTTCTCCTCCGCTCCACTCGAGCTGAAGACCGCTGAAACTCCCATCTATCTCCTCTGCTCCATCCATTGAGATGCTACGGTCAAGCCTGCATGCAGTAGAAGAGAATCCTGTCGATAAGGCTCCAGCAGAGAATTTTGCAGGTAATCCCACTTATGGCTTATGGTTTTCCACAGCTCCTCTTCCATGTATGGATTAGGCAGTAGGATTGAGGGTGAATTTTATTTCGATCTTTGTTATATGGCTCCTATCTCTACCCCATCATACAGAGAGGGTTACTTTGACTAGTTTTTTATGTTTGTACATATAAACCATCCAATTCTTATACATACAACACTTTCTTATGTTTTCAAATATACACATCACATTCTTGTGGTGTTAATAATACACATATATGCCATCCAATAGTGCTGCAAGTGGCTTTTCTACTGTCTTTGCTCCTTTTGTTTTTTTTTTCAAGCTAGGCGGTTGTGTTTCTTCAAATGCACCATCTTATTGAGCATGAAAAGGAAAATGTGTATTCCACATGTTGAATTCTTTAATGGTTTCCCATTTATAAAGCTGATGCTTTGTGGTCGGACCTCCTCATCACGATAAAGAAGTGGCACTTTATCAAACTCTTATCACATTACACTGTTTGGGTTGCTCATGCATATATGGCTATATGCCACTTTCTTATGTTATGTTGCAAACAATTTTACTAAACAGAGGCAAAATAGTCATTTATCCAGCAACAGTTGTCAATAAGTCATTCTGAATAAGCTCCCCTAAACAACAAATCAGCTTATTCTGATAATCTACAAATTATCAGATTATCAGGATTGTTTATTAGCAAATTATAAATAATCTACAACTACTCCAAATAGACCCTTATTCTCTCATTCTCTCACTTTCCCCACAATATCCTATCGATTAACTAAGAGAATCAGATAAGTAAATATATATTAAAAAATGAGTTTATTTAAACATCGTAAAAACCTAAATACTAAATGAGCCTACCAACCATGCACTCATGTGGTCCAGTGCTGACCAGGCCAATTTACGAGTTATTCGAATATTGAAAGTAATATGCTACTGAGCTTCTTGCTACCCAGGAGGACCCTGTGAGTACCTGCGAAACACATCAACATTCATGCAAGTTCCTTTGAACGAGTGCACCATGCTTGTCATCAAGCGAGCTTGCTCGCATTTCTCAAGTCCTTCCATGCTCGCCTATACTAATTAAATCCTCCTACCAAGCTAGTCGATAGCTAACTGACTAAATCACCATACTCGATAAGTAGTTCTTTGAGGCATAAGGAAGATAACACTACTCCATTGACATATATATAATCATGTATTAGCAACATGATATCAATGCCAGAGATCTTATCAACGGCGAGTCTACTCTCGCTCCGTACCGTACAATCCAATACATAGCTTGTTATTTGTTCTTTAGACTCCTCCGTACGCACATATGCTCTATGACATATAAGTAGGACGTAAAAGAGAGCGGCGGGGGGGGCTTACCTCTTTCCCTTTCTCTAAAAAATAGTTCCGCCTCTTCTCACTTCTTTCACAATTTCTCTCCCGCTCAATCCCAAAGGGATTCAACAACCAACAAAAAAGAGATGCTGTAGGCATGAAAAATCAAAACTCTCGTCACCAATGATGTCAACCATAATTTAGAAATTGATCATGTTTCAATTATTAATAATATGAATGATGAAAGAATAATAAATTAAATAATAAACGACCTTATAGGAATTTTTTTTTTTTGGGAAAATCAGCATAAGTAATAGATGCGATTCAAATCCTCAAATTCATGATGAAAATTAGAACTCCGAACTCTAAAAATATTCTGCCTTTAGAAAAACTGTAGAATATGGAGAGTATCGCATGAAAAGATTCTATCATTTTATATTAATCACTTATGGGAACGATCTGGATTTCTAAAGCTTTATTTTCTCATTTCTCTTTTCTCATATTACTTCTATTGCCATTTGTTCCGAAGACAAGTGGTGCCAGACTCTTCAGACAAGTCCACCTGTTATTTCTGATTTCTCATATAATTTTTAATGTCTTTCGTTTCCAAGATGAGCAGACTCTATAAACAAATCCACATACTTAAATTGGGGAGTTCATTGATCAGCTACTGAGCGTTGATGCCGAGGAGCTAAGTGTTATCTGCCATGACAACCCCTTCACCGGATCCACCCAGATCTGGCCAACGCAGCGCCAATCCTCGCACGAAGAGCTCTGTAACCTGTCCCCCCTACCTGTACCGCACTATTCAAAAATGACGGTGTCTTCACTGCCTTCCATACTCTCTATCTTCCCTTCCGAATTCAAAATCATTGATTTATTGATCCCTAAACCCACCTGCGGTATCTCAACCGCTGGCTGATCGTTGTATTTTTTTAAGCAAGAGGAGAGTGGCACATCTCCTCGCCTCTTTCTGTTCTTCCTTTTTATGGGGGATAGCTTTCTAGGGTTCGATCGCTGTTTCAGTTGTAAGAAAAGCGGAACTTTGTGATTGGAGCTACATTGGGGGTTCTGAGACGATGGGATCAAGCAGCAGCAAAGCATCGGAAGATGGAAGCATGACACGAAGATTTAGAAAACTCGCAGTTCTTAGGTCTTCCTGTTTTGGCAGCTCTCCCACTCCTACGGATGAACAGGTGCATCTAAAAATGTCCTTTTTTTCTTAATTTGCAGTCTTTTGCTCAGTTTTAAGCTATTAACTGATCAGGTTTAATTGCTGAGCGATGATTGATGAAAATGTGACGTTCTGTCTTTGTTTCAGTTAATTTGAGCGCATGATGATTGCTTTTTGCCTTACTAGTTTAACTAGAAGGGTTGCAGTTATGTAAGACTAGTTATTAGGGGATGCTGTGCTGTGGCCTGATCTCAACGGTTGCTTCGTTTCTTATTCTTGTTTTTGATATTAAAATATTATCATTATCTGTTTGAAATTTTTTCAAGAGTAATGCTACACTCCTCAAATCGATCCATACTTAGGGGCTCTTGGTAGCCAGATTTAAGCTAAATTATGAAGGATTTAGCATAAATCCTGTCAAAATGTCCAAATGGTTTGTTAAGGGGCTATTGGTAATGGATTTAGGGCGTGAATTAACCAGGATCTAAGTTAAATTCTGCCAAATGTTGGAAAAGTCATCTTAAATCCTCTCATTTACTAAATCCGGATTTCACCTATTTTTGCGTAAATTCTGTACTTTCTAAATCCGGTTTTCTGGAGATTTAGTGTCAAAAAGTCGTGAAGGGAGAAAGAAGAAGAAGTACTTGCCTAGAAGTGTCCGTCTTGGCTTCTACCTTCGCCCACAAATGCTGATGCAAATTCCTGTCACGACTTCTTGCTGGCCTGTAAGCTAGTCATCGCGACTTCATTCGAAAGAGTTTCAAGAACGGCGGGGGAAGATGAGTGTTTCAGATTTCAAGTATGACTTTTTCTGCAGTGGATTGTGTGGGGATTATTGATTTAATATGGCTGGTATCTTAAATTAGGTTATTTTGGTTATAAATTACGCTAACATGTTAAGTTAGTGTAATTAAAATTATTTATTACGTAATATGGTTAATTAAAAAGCTTATAATTTATTAAATAATGTTTTATGAAGATAGTTTTTTATAGAAGTTAATTTATTTTAATTTAATCGAGCTGATTTTTTTTATTTGATTTAATTGTTTAAATATTTAATTAATGATTAATGGTTAGATATTAAAGTGCTAAGTAATTTTTAATTTTTTAATTAATTCTAGTTAATTATTTACAGTACAACATATAACTAATTAATAATTATATGATGAATTTTAAAGTATTAATTAATGAATAAATAGCTTAGGTAATTACAATTAAGATAGAATTTACTAAATGAATATTTTGTTGTAGTTGCATAATATTTTTCAAATATTTTCATCAAATATCATTATTTAAATTCTACTTAGATTATTAGACTTAAATCTTAAAAGATTTTATCAAACAGTTTTATAGGATTTATTTGAATTTAATAAATCTATTGCCAAATAATTTTTTGGGATTTAACTACCCCAAAATTTACTAAATCTAGATCTACTAAAAATTCTATTGGATTAGTGATCTATTTGGGGAAAGTTGTATTTTTTTTAAAGGTAGTTGTAAAGTATTATAAAGAAAGTAAATTTTTTAAAAGCTTCTATGGGTAATGTAATTGTTTTCTTTTTCGAAAAATCAAACATAAGTTTTCTTATAGTTACCAGACTTCAACATATTTATTGGTAAAAATTAACATTATCACAAAAATTTTTAGAAAACAATAGCCGAATAGAATGGTGGTGCTGTATAAAAAACAAAGCAATTAGAAAGTTGTCTCAAAGAAAGCCTAAATCTTAGATGTTACTAAAGATTTCCTGAATCTTATGGAATCTTAAATTTTGTTTTACCTTTGTTTCGACATAAATCTTGGTGTTGAATCGTTTTGGTTTATAGAGTCTAGTATTGTTCGTGAGCTAACACAATCCTGCAAAGGCTCTCTTTTTAAGAGGAATGTATGGAAGAAGATGAAGGGTTTATTGCCAGAGCTTGTTTCTCACACTATATTTTCTTAGGGAATGATTCAGTGAAAGGGTCTCTGTTTCCCGATCACGAGAGAGTCTCATTTCAAAAGGGAGAGAGAGAGAGCAAGAGAAAAAAACCCCCTCCGATTACTTTTAACCTCCCTTTTATACGTGAGAAAAGAAATATAAAATTATATATGATGCGGTACTATGCCTGTTCATGATGTTTTCTTTAAATGATTGTGATGTAGGTGTCAGTTGGTGCTTTAAATTACGATAGATTTATGTATTTCATTGTAATGATGATTTTTTCCTGTGCGGGCTCAGCTCGACCATTCTGGCAAGTGAGCTCAGCTCGACCACTCTGACAGGTGGGCTCAACTCGATTTATTTATGTGAGGCTTCAAGGCCCATGGATTCTGATGTTTTACCCATTTGCAAATCTTCCTTGAATATAAATGGCTATATTTTGGATATACATTTAGTTTTCCGATTCTCTTGGCACATTGGTTTGGGATGTGAGAAGAACTATAAAAGAAGATTCTCGGTTTTGTATGACTGCGAAATATTTATTTCTAGTCGCGTTTTACAGCTTGGTTAAAAAGATCTTCAAGACGTGAATGCGTCGTGATTAATAAATAAATTTTCCTTGACCTTAGGACATTTTGGCTACACCTATGAGGAATTAGATCGTCTTACCCTCTTCCTCGAGTCAGGATTGACCTTCGCCTGGTGGCTTTTTTGGCTACACCTGTATGGAGTAGTCTCCTCAGCTTCTCAATGAGTGTGATGGCTTTGCACCTTCTTATGAGGGAGGTTAGTTGTCTGAGCTATTTTATGGTGAGAATTGGTTTTTTTTTAGTAAAGTTGGATGTATGTTTGAAAATATTGAGATAATGAGAGTAGAAATTGGGACTTTCCTGTTCTTGATAGTATTTCTATCAAAGAATAACCGTCGTATCGTTTTTTCATGATCTTGCATATGAGTGTTTTAAACATCCGTTGTTTTGTTATTATCTTATAAAAAAAATAAAATTAATATTAAAAAATAGCATTAATTATGATAGGTAGTGAATTTTAAAAGTGTACCACCTTTTGTGCCTATTGAAGGTGTTTCGTGGGAGGCTTAAGTTTCCATATTGAAGAAAGGTGTCTCTTTGCTGCGATTTTTAAAATTTTTCAACTCCAGCTTCCAGTGATGGATAAGATTACTGTCAAAGGGATGAAGATCTATCGGTTGCGCCTTTAGGCCATACTTTTTCAACAATTGTTGACGTAACTTGATTTTATAGAGAAGGAATCGTGAAAAATAATCAAATGTTATGGGAACTGGAACGTCATAAAGGAAGGTACTTCTTGCGATCCTCTTGTGGAGACCATGAAGGTGTACATCTGCTTGTGGATTCAGTGGAGAAGGTTGCCCCAAACAGCGGGACGATGCTGCCTTCTATGATTGTTTGTCGGGCAAAAATTCTCTTGATCTGAATGATCCAGTCGAAGGTCAGTCCTATGACTTGTTTAGAGGACAAAATGAAACTAATTCAATGACTCTTGTTGAACTTGGCTTGAGCGATGAGTAGGTTGTACTTCTTGATTATGGGCATTTTTAACTACTAAGGGTGCGCATGAATTCTTGTATTTGGTTGAAATGCATATGTATTCATAGATCAATGGGTTGCTTTAGTGGCTGCTTTTAGGGAGTCTCCAATTGATGATGTTCCTTTAGGAGGTGGCACCAAAGTAGGTGAAGTTTTGGACCAAGGCAACACTGGGCCGCTTCCTGAAGGTAATTCATCATTATTTTCTAGAGCTAAGCTAATAAAGTTATGGAGCTAATGTTAACTTGTTTGTTAAGTGTAGGTTACATGCAGGCATGGCTACTTTTTTGTGGCAAGGGAGATGCCTAGCTAACTGGGCTATAGGACAACCAAAAGGGGGGTAGAATGACTAATAGCACGGCGAGCTGCTTCCAGGGACTAGAATAGGCCGGTGGAGATTGAATTTGGGATATGAAGAGGGTAGGTGATTTCTTCTCTCTCACGAATATTGGAGGGAAGGTGTCTCCAAGTCTTGTGGTCGTCTTCCTCTTCTTCCTTCAGAAATCCGCTCCAACCCGAACCATTCCACCTTCTTCCCTTTTCCATTATGTGGAACTTGTTAAGCTTATGCGGTCACTCCAATTGCTTAAGACAGGTCTCCCTTCTCTAAGGCTGGGATGCACCCTTTCACACTCTTGCTTTACCTTGGTCCGAACATTCACCCTATCTATCCTTGTCACCCTAGCTAAAAATGTTGATTCTAATTCTATTACGATCACTTCTTTGTTGACCGGGGAAGTATTGTCCTATTATTTTTTTTTTTCATTCGATCATGTCGTCACTTAATGACTAGAATGCACAAAGATTAGGTGCTCAACTAGAAAGAAATTCAAAGAATAGGAGATGCATGACTTGTCGTAGCGGGAATTCAATCTCTAGAAAGCTACGATTCAAACCTTCTTTTCTCGCTGAATACGATCTCTTATTACGTTCATAGAAAGATGACGAGAGGAATGCAAAGGGCTTCGAACTGGGTTATGCCAATGGTGAGCCAGTATCGGTGTAAGTTGTGCCAAATATGAGCCAATTGTTGGAGGGGGTGTTGATCCTAAAGTTTGTTTGCTCTGGTTGCAGGAAACTGGATGCCTGAAAAATTGACCGCGAGTACTTTGCTGACACTAGAGGCGATCTACACTATAGAGTAAGGTGATTTGAAGAATTGCCTCATCATGTTGGAGGAAGGTCTGATAGAGGCTAGGGAGCACATCGTCGACTTTCAAGCTAGAGAGGTGGCAGTTGACCTGGAATCACGCAAATAGATTGCCAAGTTGGAGGCAGTGTTGGTGGAAAGTGTGTGATGAAGCTTCTGATGCTCACAGCGGGATCCTAATGGATCTTTAGATCTTCAACATATTTTTGTGCGCTAGTGAATTGGACTATTAACATACACTTGAACTCTTTGAATGAGGTGATGACTTATGTCAATAAGTTGTTGAAACAGTGCAAGGTTGATTCTTTCAACAACATTAAGAATAAACAACATTTTAGAGCACCATTTACCCTTAACAGACAGACAACTGACTCAAAAG